GTCGGGTCTCAGGTAATGTTTTAGTCAAAAGGTCAACCACTTTGGTTATTAAGGTCTATCCAATTTTAAGGATTATTTGGTTCAGTGATCTAAATTGTAGGTGGCAGAAGCAAAAGCATGTATACTCTGAGGAAGAATTAGATTAGAAGGGGCGAAGAATATCAAACAAATGAATCTCCCGCTTCTTGTGTTTTCTAGCTGCGGTTTGGAGATGTTTTCGTCTGATCGTGATCATTAAGGACGCTCGAGGGCAAATGCGTAAACAACGTCAATTTTCTGATTGCCAGTAAATAAAACAACGAGTAATCAATGATGAAAACGAAAAATCATTCCGGCAAAAAAATTTTACAGGGGAAAAAGGTATTAGAATGTATTTGTCATTAATAAATTGTTTTCAAAAGGTTTTTTTTTTTTTTTTGAGGGATGAAAACTAAAACATTTTTTGATGGAAGAAAAAGTACATCTTTAACAAAACTGTAACTTTTTACGTCGTTYTCGCGGGTCGAGATGAAGCAGTTTGAAGAAGTGAAACTTGTTTTCTTGATATTTAGCTTATCAAAACTTTTGAATGAAGTCATCACGATGAGCGCGCACACTAAACTCATGCATAGAAAGGATACGCGCAAACAATGCTCCTTAATTCATTTTTGAATAACTCTTGACCTATGACATACCTTACATTCCACCAGTCATCTCTATRGCTTCCTACATATGTAAATGTATTATTTCCTTCGCTCCAGTCTTCTTCAGCGTTAAAGTTACTRCAATACATGTTTGCACTTCCACTAGAAGAACTTGAGTAATATGAACCATATCTTGTTACTTGCCAGGTATTGGAAAACGACGTGGATGCAAGACTTCTGCTTGCGACTCTACTTTCGTCACAATATACAGAACCTCGACGGAATGAAAGCCTGAATGTGAAGTCCACCTATGAAATAAGGAATCCACATGAATTTGTTAGTGATTGTCATTATATGTTTTGTTAGCCAGCACTTGCTTAAACGATC